ACCACTGTTGTGGTTGTGGTTGTTTTCTGCATGCCTGTTTGTTAAAATGGACGTTGTCATGATAAACATGGAGCGACCCACAGTTTGTCATGATAAAATTCAGTTTTAGAAATTTTACACTGATGAACCTTCCTCGAAGACTGACCTTGGTGTGTTTTTCTTTCTCCAAAGCGATTGGTAGGTGGCACTGTGTGACAGGCCGTAAATCAGAGATTCCAGCTGAAGTGATGTCAGCGCTTCGCATCGTGTGTTGTCACTTCACACTGTGAAGACATGTGGACACGTGGTCACAACTCTTTCAAAGCATTCACCCTCCAATCACCCAAAAGATTTATCATGGGTTTAAATAGTCAGACACACATGGACATGCACATATGCGTAGTATATATATCTTTCAGCACAGCAATTTAACATATATTCATTTATTTCTCCTTGGCTGAATGACAGGGGAAGAAATCCATAAATTTGAGACCAAACCCCATTTGAGATTTACTTAATTTAGCCACTCTGTGAAGCACAGCAAACTAAAGCATACAGTGACATCACATATGCATGTATATGTATAGACATACCACAGTAAAAATGTTTACTGTTTACTATTTATAGAGTTGCCTGTCTGAGTGTGGCTGTGTTTCAGACCATACCACTGTTTGTGAACAGTTGACCTCGATAACCAGAAGTATATGAAAAGCTCAACTGAGTCACTTCAGCTGATGGCCCCTCACTTCTGGGAACCCCTTGTTAAAGGGTCAAGGCGATGCATACTCTAATAAGTATGCTCGATTTATACATGAAATTTATGGTGACGTGACAGTTAGCATCTGTGTTAGCTTGAGCACCCCGACCACTCAACTGGGCTGAGCTCACCAGGCAAAACATATTATTATTATGTTCCCATAGTTCAGGTTGAATCTATGCTTAGCCATGTCATGCCAAGATACAAAGTTATTGTTTTTTTTTCCCTCAAGCTTGATAGATTTGACAGCATAAAGGGTTTAAAGAAATTAGAGTCCTGGCAGAATAAAAAAGATATAGAAAGTGGGTTTAAATGAGTAAAGACAGTTATTTTTCACATTAAGGGAGGCTGAGGATAGGGAAATGCAAGCATATGTAGGCCAGTGTCTTCAATTCATTCATTACATTTTGGTAAATAAGCTTTTTTGCTCTCTTGCTGAGAGTAAGATGAGAAGATTGATAAAACTCTCATTTGTGCACAAAGCTACAGGCACTGGCTTATTAGCTTAGTTTAGCTTAGAATAAAGACTGGAAACGGGAAGCACCTCTAAAGCTCAGCAAATAAGATATTATATTTTGGTAATCCAGACTATTTCTTGGCTGGGTGCAGTAACTTTGCATTTTTTTGACAGTCACAGCAATGATAACTAGGAAACATGCAGGAAGAGAGAGAGAGAGAGAGAGAGAGAGAGAGGTACAACATGCAGCAAAGGTCAGTTAAACCGTGGACATTGCAGTTATGTCGTATGCCTCTACCAGGCGCCTTTCACACTACACAAACAAGACGTGACATGAGAATCAGTGTGCTTTGTAGTGTATGTACTTACCATTCAATGGATTTTCAATTCTGAAACAAAACTAAATGTTCACTATGGTCTTACATTCAGAAAGCTGTTTGCACAGGACACTGTTAAATGGGACAGTGCATATGAAGCGTGTGTCAAGGATAAGTTCAAATAGTAAGACAAGCATTTACCTTAAAATGCACATAAACTTGTAAATTATGTCCTCAGGGAGAAAGGACCAATGCTTTATTCCTTGTCACTGGGCTTCATTGATTTTCTAAGAGAAAATCTTTTTTGTATGGGCTGTGCATACGTCAAAACTAAAGATGATGGTTTGTCTTACAGCTCTCATCTGGCTTCCCAAGGCCAACTTTTTGTATCATCAGAGAACAGGAGATGTTTGTTAAAAGGGTGATTCTGTATAATCCATCATTTTAAAGGCACTGGTGTGAGATTAAATCCTTGTATATTAATGCATTTATGAAATCCGAAAGAAAACATTTTGAAAGTTGTCAGACATGAAATTAATACTATAATACTCCAAGCTGCTGATTCTCACTTGAAACAATATCTACAGTCTCCCGTGGCTTTTCAATGCGCCAGATGGACCTTATGCTACCTATTAGTTTCTATAAATCCCGGAAAGGCCTGATGACTGACAGTCTGCATATATCCAAATAGCCAAAAAGCAATACAATCTGTATCCGAAAGCTTTTATGACTCACAGGGATTTGTATTATTCGTGCTGCTCAAAATTTACAACCACAATTATTCACGCGTAGCAAGACAGTCCCAGTTTAGTTAAGTTTTATTGCCCTCTTCAAATTCTTGTTGCAAATTTCTCAGTCAGTGTTTCAGCAGATTCCTTTGGACGTGATTCTGAGAAAAGAACCTAAACAATTCACATGAATTCCTGATGGCCATAGATGGACACAGAATCAAGCTCTCTGATGTACTGAGGAGGGTTTTACATACAGGTATTGTGTACTATATAAAACATGTGTTATATCTATAGTTATACATGGCAGCTAATTTAGATGTAAAGTTGATGGTTTACAGTTATTGACACCAGTACTGTGCCTGATTCATCACTCCTGTTTTTATTTACCGGTAATTTAATCACCCAAGGTGGTGCCACAGATGGAGCTGTACATTTGTTGCTTTATTTAAACAGTTGCACCTTGCTATAAAACTGTCAGCACTATTAATCTGGGGCTGAGATACTGAATGATGATCTACCTTTGATTTGCAAAGCTGCCCACTGTCTCATGATGCTTATGTAAAGTGGGTGACCTCCTAAGACCATTAAAGTGACTTTCATGCCTTTTCGTCCTTGTCACATCAAAACTAATCATGCTATATTTGTTTATATTGTACAGGTAAGGGAGTGAGAACGCTTTTCTAATTTTGAAAAAGTAGAAACAACTCTTGCAGCACACAGGGATCTTAACAGGGGCTTATTGTGGTCAGCAAAACTGACCAATTAATATCTCGTCAATATAACAGAATGTCTTAGTACAAATATGAATAAAAGGGGCTAAAGAACTGGTAGGGTAGCTACTGCCCTGAGGCAGCCCCCATAGAGGTGTACTGACTATTTTTTTAATGAGGTGATCTCCATTTTACAGTATTCAGAAGTGCCAGGAATATCCTGTGATCACTGAACTAGATTCCCATCTTATTTCAGGGTTCAGGCTATTTACCCATAACACGAAACACACTAAATTTTGGCTCATAACATCCACCATCATAACAAACATGTCAGAGAGGGGGGTTGGTTAACTTCAGCTTTTACTTGGGCTGATGGACAGTAAAGAAGAACCTATTTTTAAGGAATGGAGGCCATACGACACATTAACCCTTGAGGTCAGGTCTGATATGCAAACCCACCGCAGCTAAAATAACTGCTCTGACCTCATGCTGGGCAAAATAGATCAGAGCCTGTGAACCTGGGTAATGGCTCACCTCCATGAGACACATCTAGTGCAGACCCTGACATAAAGATGGTTGATAATTTAAAGGAAAGACTTGAATAAATGAGTGGTGATTTACTTAATACATGCAAAGGGAATGAGAGGTCACTGAATGGTTCCATTTAGGGCTGCAAGTAATGATTATTTTCGTAATCAATTAAAATTCTCGTCACACTGACAATTTCACATTGCTTGTTTTGTACGACCAACAGTTCAAAGCCTTAAAATATTCTGTTCATTATCACGTGATGAAGAAGAAAAGCAGATATGCCACTGTTATGAGTTGGACATCTTTGTGACAGTCTGGGTCATAATAGAAAAATGTTGTCAAAATCCAAGCCACATTTTGTGCCTCTCATGTGTTATCATTACATTTACGGTAAGTCACAGAGCTAAGTATCTGTTTCTCAGGAAGGCCTTTTAGAAAACCTTGCAGGTCATCTAACAACTAACCACAGTTTTGAATGTATTTCCAAAATCTAACAATCTGCCTTATAAAATATTGTATCCACTGCAATATTCTTAATATTTCCCACTGTTTTTAAGGTATTTGCAGAAATGTCAGACTGTTCTGTCCATTTGGATCAAGATTAGACCAAGATTTCACAGCCATGCTAACAGCTCTGAGGCTGTACTTAGGCACAGCAGTGCTTTGTGCTAAATGTTAAAACTTAAACACCTATAGATTTTAGGTTGATGTGATACAGACAGTGCTCTGCACCACCATTATTAACATCACTAATTTAAAATTTTAAAATGGTGTTTCATCCTTGCAGAGATCCAGAGAGTTGTAGATTGAAGCTGCTCTGACGGTTCTTGATGGCCCAACATTTAACCAAGGCTAAGTCCAAGTCTGTTGGTTTTTCCTTTATTTTCCACCCATCAGCATTAATATAGTGTACACTGTGTAGTATAGGTTTTCCATTTAGAAAAGCTGCCATTACTGCCTGCTCGAGCCAAGAGACAAATTACCATCAAAGGATTTCACTTAAGTCCTATCAGCTCCTGCCACTGATCATAAACCACTGCGTCATCATGTTCCCAGTGTTTGAAAAGGCTAAAACACTGGCAAAAGGGCCTTGGGTCAGTACTCAGTACTCAGTGTACACTGAGGACAAACTGATACTGACTAAGAGGGGAATGAACACTTTGCTCAACCTGCTGAAAGGCCTAATAGATTAGGGGCCCCTGGACAAGCCTTCTCAGTGACCTAATGTACCCAGAACAGCTGTGTGAGGGTGCTTAGCAGTTAGGCCAGGCTGACAAGTCATTGCTCAGCTTGATATATGAACTATTACATGTGAAACAGGAGAGTTTGTTGAAGGGTATGATGGCATGACCATGCTAGTATCAATATGTCCTTATCATATGTATTTTAGGTATTTATCTTTTAGTCAAAGTCAAGCATAAGATCTTTGAGTGCAGGTTAACATTCATTTCTGCATGTGCACAGGACTACTGAGGTATCTTAAGGCAAAATAAAGGCATTAAAAAGATGTTATGTGAGGAAGTTGGATTATTTATTCTGTAAAGTCACATTTTACAAAGCAAAAGCACTTGTTCCACCAATTTCATGAGCATCATCACTTTAAAGAAATGAAACCTCTACACACAAAACAGTGTAGAGATCTGCCATTTAATTCAGGGAGCTTCACCTCCACCCATTTAAACAGTCCATGAATTATATACTGTACAAAGCAATAAAATTTAGGTTCATCTGGATAACTATGAATGTTTGTATACAATACTTTCAATCTGGCAAAGGTGCAACAACAAAAATTCAAATGAACCTATTTACAAAAACTGAGTCAAAATATCAAAACAAACATTTGAAAAATGTAACTTTTAAATACAGAGTTAGACACGCTGAGAAACATATATTGCAGCTTTGCAGCCCAGCTGAATTGCATTTTTTAGCAGCCAGTATCCAGGTAGCTGAAATAACAAAACAAAACATAATGAGATCACAGTAATTTACATGGCATTCAGTAAAAACTGCAAAGATAAAACAGTACTTTCATAAATTAATATTGATTTTTATGTATTTTTATGTATTATGTATAACTTATTTTAGCATTGTTTGATATCATAAGGTGTGTTCTGATCAGCTTTTTGTGAGACCAAAGTATTTGTGTGGGCTGTGCAGTAAAAGTTAATTTCCTTGATACATAACCCATAATGAATGAATGGCATTTATCCAACATCACCAGCAACATCAAGCAAAGCAACACAAACATTATTAACCAACCAAGATTATGCAAAATACTTACTTGTTCAGCGTCATGCTCCAATCCTGTATCATGATGCTCCATCTCGTCGTCTCTGAATTCTTTTATGACCTATTAAAATATAGCCCGAGACATTCATTTAGAAAGTGAATTTATTCATATTTCACTCCATTAGAGCCCGCTTTCACTAAACAAACCTACCTACCAAGGATGTGTGCAATTAGTCGACTACCCTCACTAGTCGGCTACAGAAATATTAGTAAGTCAAAATAATTATTAATATTTCATTAATATATAACACCAGTTAACTGATGCATCTAAGATGTTATGTAGTCACCTGCCCCCTTCTCCCTGCGCTAATGCCTGGAAGAAATTGTCCTTTGACACAGTTAAAAACTAAAACTGACATACACACAAAGTTTTGATCTAGAAAATTAAAATAAGGCTGTGTCAGAATAAACTGACATACAACCACTCGACTGGAGCAATATGTAACCACATTCAGCAAAGGCATGTGGACATACCTGCAAGGCTGCTGATGTTAGCACTGCTAACGTTAGCCATACATGCCGAACCAATATGACATCAATTGCTTTCTGATTGTTTTCTTGCTGTTAGACTAATTGGGTAGTCTAAATTTTAATTTGCGGTCTTTTTGAAATTAAATAGAAAACGCAACCCACAGACAATGATATGACATTGTTGACCACCACCACAAAGTCAACATTATACTGGCAAGTGAACAAGGCTGTGCGAAAAAATCTCAAGGGGTCTGGCTAGCTTCTCTGCAAGCACTGCAGCAAACAAAGTAAAATGTGGTGAAAATATAGCAATCTGGTTTTGGTCCAGAGAATACTGACAGCCTTCAGTTCTCTATCTCTATGAGTATGCAGTCTCAATACTGAGCCACTGTGCCATCATTTTTACTCTTTCTTCCAACATTTGGTTGCTCACTTATTCAGGACTCAATTAATTATGCATTTGCATTCTGTAATCATCAATCTATTTAACAGTTTCCTGAATTAGTGGTGGAGTCCACCATTTCCAGGTGGAACCAATTTGCCTTTCACACATGGGAGATTCACAGGAAACGTGGCACTCATGTGATCTCACTGAAACAGCCTCAACTTTTACTGTTCACTCTCTTTACACTGTATCAAGGTAATTTAATTATTGTCGATGCATACATTTTGTCCTACTGCTAAGTAGGAAATATTCAGTACTCCTAAGTTACAGAGAAAACAGTAGTTGACTCACTTTTAAGAGTTCAGTGTATCTCTCTGGGTCCACCTCCATCAGAGCTCTTATCTGGCTGTTGTAGTGCTCTGAGATACTCTCCTCCACCGCCACAGTGCAGGCCATGGCACCCTCCTTTCCAAGCAGTGCAGTGGATGCCCCTGGCAGAGATTTTTAAAAGAAGTACAGAGTTTAAATTTGATAAAGCAACACCTGACTACATTAAAACTGCAGCAGACTAGCTAGGGAAATATGGTTCAATAGCTTGTTAATATACAGTACTTGAACTGTGACAAAATCTTTTATGGATTAGTTTTGTTCTTGAAAGTAAGTGATCTTATAATTTAATGCCTTTTGCTCTGTTTATTGGCTGTACCAACCTAATAAAAACCCAGCGATGTTCCAGAGGGGTAACAGTGCTGTGGGCCGAACTCTGTTCTCAGCCATGATTTCATTGAATTTCTCAAGGTGTTTCTTTTCTTGATCCCACATTTCCTAAAGAAAAACAAACTTGTTAATAGAGTATTGAAAATAACGCAGTTACACTCATGCTGAATACACACCTAGGCTACAGAATATAAAATTTTTCACAATACAACAACTAAACTAAAGGCGCAGATTCTCCATGTTTGAGTTTTACTTAAGTCCAATAATGATAATTTTAGAAGAAACATAAGTAACATTTACACCCAACTTTTCAGATTTACCCCTCTGCCTTAAAATCTAGTGTCAGAATTCCTTCAATAGAAATCAATCAAACCAACCACTTTGATGACATTGTTCTGTGTGTAGCTCACATGATTTCAGGTGTTTTGTCCTGGAGAGCCATCAGTGTGAACTGTTGTCTATTGATTTTTGCCAGTGGGCAGTGTTATTGTCGTACTTAAAAGCTACGTGTCGCACTGTGCCCAGACCTGGATGAGAGGCCCAGATCTGGATCGACCCAACACTGCCATCTGGCCGGCGTAGATACGATTGGCACCATATTCACCCGCATGGTCCACGCGCAGAATTCGATCCAGCATCTCTTTCTCCCCACTGTCTCGCGGGGGCGGGATCACACTGTATGCACGTGAGCTCTGCAGCAGGGGCGCTGTTACAGAACAGAAATGTAACGTTAGAACCGTTGGCTACTCTGAGGCCGTAACCGAAATGTTTAAGCCCCTTCAAACATCCTCAAGGCTCAGCTTAAGTATTTTTTAAAAACCGGTAAAAGACATCACTGTGTCTTAAGTTACAAGATTAGACGATTTTGCTAAAACACACACAAAATGTTATGTGGAGAAAACCTTGGTTCAGACACCTGCTCCTCTGTAAAGTATAAAGTTACATAACGTTATTATTTAGCTAACAAGGCTGTCATGACCCGTTAGTTGTGACCATTAAGCTCCTATTACACGGTGAGTCTTGACTTGCACTATTGCTTACGATAATAACAACTGTAGTTGTGAATATATATGAATATGTATTAACGTTATGTATATAACAGGGGAGGGATATATGTAATATGTGTAACGCTCTTCAGGCAGACACCATGACCACATAAGACAACATAAGACAAGTGTTTTTAGCATTTAGCACTTTAGCTCTTAGCTGTTGCTGCTGAAGTAAATCAAACCCTTCTGCTACTTACCTCTGCATTTTAAACACTGGCGAATCATCGCTGGACCGACAATATGAGACCAGTCGTATAAAGCTGTATGTGCGGCTCTTTGCATGACGGACAGTTTATGGTTTAACTGCCCGTGCTATCAAACAAACGTAGGAAAATGTGTAGAAACCGATAGAAACTGTCATTGAATGTCAATAGGTGGACGTGGCGCAGGCGTTTGACGTAACACTGTTGCAAAACAAAGCCACACCCCCTCAAACAATATGTGGGGTGCAAAAGTCTGAGGCCACTTTTACAAATTGTATATGCATATATTTTTGCATATCAAGACCAGTATGTATTAGAATTGAAAGTCACTTTTATTTTTACATAGGTTAAGTTATTAATTTTATTAATGCTACTAAATTAAATTAAACATTATCATTATCACTGTGACAGAACTATAAAACTGTGACTCTGGTTTTTGTTTGGGATGTTTTTACAGCTGCTTATAAATAAATACTCATATAGTCTAGTAAAACCAACATATCTGCTGTCATTTTGAAGCATGGTTGTTTCATTTTTCTCATTTTGTTAGCCTGCAGGTCCATAGTTTGTCCAGTAGATAGCAGTACCATATAGATGTTCAGCTTAAAAAGATACTTGCTGAAATTCACAAATAAACTGAGCTATGTAATGTTAGACCTGTAGAAGTAACAGGTCAATAATAAGTTGGTAATCCTAAAATATTCAGCAAGAAGGCACCAGCGCTGGGGTGTGCAAGAAAAATGGATGAAACTGTTGTTCAAGTTCAAAGAAAACTGAGACACCAACTAACTCAAAGACAAATTTTAAAGGTGGGTTTAGAAATAAAATACAGTTGGGATCATTTTTTAAATATTAGCATTGTTTTCATTAGCAATGTCTTTTTGTAGCTCACAAAATCGTTGATCTTAATGTTTTCTTTTAATATTATTTTCTTGTGTCAATTCAGAGGAATCTGCTGTATAGTCATCCATCCTGTCTGCATTGTTGCATATTGCTGTGCACCGTCCCAGGGTCATTTGGAGTTTATCTCAGCATCCTGGACAGGTCACTAGTCTGTCACAGTGCAAACAGGCAGCCCAAATAATGCATAGTTAACAGGCAATTTAGAGTTCACTAGTTCACCTGATCCACATATCTTTGGTCTGTGGGAGGAAACCGAGCATTTAAATGAATAAAGTAAATACAGACAATTACCTTTTGGCCAGACACTCTCTGCTTTTCTGTGTCAAACAAATCATGAGTGCATCCTTTGTTTAGGTTTGTTATGCAAGACTTAACCTGACAAAAAGGCAATTAAGCACATTTGTGGAGCAATCAGAGTTATTCTTGATGGTCTATGGATGGCAGTGTTTCACAGATAAAGGTTGTCTGAGGCGAACTTCACCTTGTAAACACCTGTTGGTCCCAGTTTTCATTATTGTTTCAGTTTCAGTCAAATTTATCACTGCACTGTGTCCTCCAAACAAGACAGCATGCAGAACCATTAGAATTCACCATTTGTAATGCAAAAAAACAACATATGTTTGCTCTGATCATCTGTCACCACCATTTACTTCCATTACATTAACTAGAAGCTGCAGTCTTTAATGTGCAGAAAAAAAACTCTACAAAAGTCTTTCTGCAAAGCACATAAAATAGTGCTGGGACACAGGAATCTGTGGAATGATGGGGTTGACTGCTGAAGAACGGTGATGGTCGTGAGTAAACAAGGCCAGGACGGTGAATGGCGGGGTGTGTCGGTTTTGTCTGTGTGTGTGTTTGTGTGTTTGTGGTGAGACTCCGGTTATGTGTTTCCTTATCTGTCTGTCTGAATGTGGGTGGCTACGCATGTGCGGCTGCACATCGGTCCATGTGTGTTGCCTTTTGTCCTCTCCGCAAGAGAGTGTGTGTGCACGTCACAGGTGTGATGAGCAAGGCTGGATTAACAGCAGGGTAATGCAGACCCCCAAGGGTCCCAAAAGGCCCAGGTCCTCTACTTGTCATGTGGTTTTTGGTCATCTAATGAACTGCAAATTTGTTTGAGAATTTGTTTGAGAATTTGCAGGAATTTGCGTCACTACAACACCATATCAACTAAGACAGAATCTGTATTATTACCTAGTCCTGTGGCTGAGTCTTGTTAAGAGGCACTTGTCAGTGCACTCGTCCTAGGGGGGACTGAGCTGAAAACAGATGTCTTCTGTGGCTCTAGAGGGAGCTGTTCTAAGAACCTAACCCTACTTATTTCATGTAGTCCTGAAGTGGCATCATTGGAAATGATAGACCCAGCATACTAGGGACCAAAAGTCTTTTTTTTTAAACTGCAATAACAGTTTGTTTGTTTGTTTGATTGATGGACTGATTGATTGACGAACACTTGCTTATTTACACATCAAGCAGCTGCACAGACAACATTAACATTCATTTGGAGTTATGTTTCTGTCCAGCTGATAAATGTAATTCAAATAGTCACTCTCTTTTAGCCTTTTTTTTTTTATATACATCCACCAACTCCTGAGGGAAATATTTGGCTCTTGAGCTGCTAAATTGATCTCATTCATCAGTTAGTCGTTGTAACTGTCTCCTATTGGTGCTGAACAGGTAGTGTACAGAACAGCCTGCTGCCTCCTGCAGCTCCATAAAGCTGAGGAGAGTTGTAGGTTCAGTTGCTAATTCTCTGCTAATTGTCATTTGATGCATTGTTATTATAAAAAATATTATAGCTGCTTTAATGTGGCAATAACTTTGTGGAATGTTCACATTCTTAAATAAAATTGTGCTTAATTACATCAGGGGAGTGTCATTCGTGCATAGAGGCATTGTTGTTTGGGCTAATAATGAAGCTGCCATGTATAGCCTGCTGTGTGCACTGTAATTAATGGAAGCGGTAGAGTACATCCACAGTGCACAAAGGAGGGGAGGTGAGGGGGCAATGGGGGCCTGACAGCAAATATTGAGACATCATAACACATTAATCCAGGCGTGCATGTGAAGAGTCAGGGCATGAATACCTGAACATCATTTGATTCACTATGATGTCAAGTCCAGTGGAACCTTCAAGTGGAGCTCGAGACAGGTTTTGATGTCGGTGGACAGGCTGGAGTGTGTCCGGCACACTCAGGTCGCATGGTCGGGGGATTTGTGGAGAGAAAACAGAGCCTTTCAACAAGAGTGGTTTTCAGAAAGGCTTTAAGTAACTGTCTGACAGATGTAACGTCTATCCCCAAAGAGCAAACACGCTTCTCAGATTGTAGCGGATATATGAAGTAATCAACACTTAAGTCTAAAATTTGGTAGAGCAACTGAGGGAAGGTAAGGCCAAGAGAAAGTACGTTTTCTTGCTCTTTAGTGTGTTGTGAGTGATGAGTGGATTAAAGCGCAAACCACAGAGCTGGAAAAAGAGTGAGACTGGCTTATGTATGTGTCTATGTACCTGTATGTATATGTGTCTGACTGTGTTTGTGTAATGTTTGCATGCATCCATGGAAGTGTGCGAGTCTGCACACCCTTGCTCCGAGGCTCTGGTCAGACGGTGCATAGCTGTGGTGGGACGCAGGCTAAGAGCCTCGAGACTACAGTGAGTCAACAATGTCTGCTCTCACTGAGAGGAGACATGATAGGTCTTGTCTCATTTGGTCCCTGACTGGTGTGGTGGAACTCCCAAAGCTTGTGTGTGTGTGGTATGTATGATTTTAAGTAACATTAGGTTTTTAGTCGAATGTAAAATATATGACACCAACATGCGTCAGCGTCTGTGTTTGCACACGTAATATTGTTCTTGACAACCCTCTCCTCACACAAAAATACACACTTAAAATAAAAAAAACAAAACAAAGAATATGGTTAAAAGCCTCAGGAGCAGGGACAGCATTTGATCCTTGGATGATATTTTACTTAGGGGTGAGCATCTGCATCATTTCAAACTGGAAACTTTCAAACGATTTTGTGAAAATGGTCCAATGTGTATGTGTGTATGTGTGTGTGTGTGATCATGATGGTTAAAGCACTTTTTAAGAAAAGGCAAGGAAAATAATGTGGAAGGGGCTATTTGTAAGTTTTCTTTGCCGCCAAACGTGGTCTCTTGCCGGGAGGCGATGGTGATGATTGTTGACAAGAGTTTAAGCCATTGTTGCGTTTAAAAGACAAGAGGTTATATTACACCCACTGAACAGCACTACGTCTTCAGGGCAGATTGGAGGCTGCAGTGAGTAGCTATCGGAAAGTGAGCTGGTTGGTTAGCGTGCTAGCTTCAGTAGAAGAAAAGATGTGCTAGAGACAAGAGTTAACGTTGGCGTTGCTTTCCACCGCTGGACACAGCTCTTGGTGAATAAGTTTTTAAGGTAAACACAAGAAACTTGTGCTACAGAAATTGGGGGGAGAGCTAAGGAATGAAGTTTGATGCTGAACTTGCAACATTTCCTCTAGACTGGTACAGTAAATAAACAGCTGTTAATGCTAACAGCATGGCTATGTAGCAATAGCAAAACTTACAAATAGCTCTGTTCAAAGGGGTAAAGGGGAAGTTGAGAGACTCACATGATGTCCCACATTTCCCATGATGCATCTTAATATCTATGCATGCCCTGACATAATCAGGGTTATTTTTTCAGACTTTGGAACAGAGCTGAGTGTCCTCCTGAGAAGTACACTGAACTTAATGTGTAAAATTGAAATAGAAAAAAAATAGTTTCCTTTTTTTTTTTTTTTTTTTACATCTGTATGTGTCTTCAAAACAGTGTTTATAACTAAATTGTCCTTTTGAATGTCTCTTCATAAAAAGTAGCATTTTCCTTCTCAAAAATAAATAATCCAACTCTCTTGTAAAAGCTTTATGTACATGTTTACCTAGTTGACATGAAAAAGCTGAAAAGAAAGCACATACCTAAAGTTTCACATCTTACAGTTGTGACAGTTTCTCTTTATGCACATGGAACTGGACACTGACTAGTTACTGTGCCATGACACCTCAAAGCAGTATTAAAAACACAGGCTCCAAAAAAAAAGACCCTCACGCTTGTGGCCCAATAACGGTTGTTATTCACTTATCCTGTGGGGCCAACCCTATACATGAGTACAGTTAAATGCTCAATTCATAAAGATTCTATAGCCTCCCATATTAATCCACTGTCACAGCTGGGTGTTGGCTTCCATCCCAGGACAAATATACTCATAGGCGACATAATCTCACATGTAAGGAAA